ATACAGTGGGTGATCGGTTAACGAACATAATCCGTTCCAAGACTTTGTTCGCTATCCGAATTGTTTGTTAACCGATTATCGATTTACCATAGGTTTTAATGGGAATTTAATTAATTCGTTCTGGAGACCCCCAAAAATAAAAAAATATATACTTTACTACGTTTATTTATATGTAATAATAAAAATACATCCATACACAGTCTTGTGTTTTTATTAGTCATGTTTTTTTTCTGTTTGAAAGGGTTAAAGAATCTGTCTAATGTCGATTGCTTTTCTCTCTTCTTCAGGATTTTTCGTAAGTAATTAATTAATAGCATTGCAATTGTAGAAATCCCCAAGCCTCAACCTGGTTTGGATGCCATTCTAAAACCGTTGTTCTGACATCCTCCCACTTCTTCAAAGGATCTTTAATAACAGATATTGGCATTAATCCTCTTTTTTAGAAGAAAACATATCTTGCCGAGTTTCTTGGTGTTCTTCATTCAAGAGTTCTTGGCGTTCTTCTATTGTCAGATCCGTTTCAGGTTCCATTATGAACTCTTCGATGTTGTATATTTCTCAGATGTGATTTTTGTTACTCTTTTATCCGCTTCTGTCTTCTTGATTATAAACTACTAGTAGCCCGGGACGTCCCCTAGTGGGCGTTTTTTACAATTTTCCATGAGGTACGGTTCCTTTGACTTTTTTGTTCCTATCAGTATGCTCTACAGCTCTGTTAAAGTCCCAATGGTAAGATTTACCCTTCGAATGAAGAGGTGGCGACCCCCCCAAACCATAGACCCCTGTACTAACAATAAAGTCAAAGGAACCATACCCCTACTCACGACCCTTTGCGAGATATAAGCCCCTGAAATAATAAATTCCTATTACAAATATACTGAATTATTTATATTGTTATATTGANACTTTTTCACTGTGCAGACTGTGCAGTAATTTTACAATCATAATGATGATTAGGTAAATTGCAGGACCAGAAACTAGTCACCAAAGAGAGGGATGGTTTCCAAAAAGCAAGTTAAGTGATAAATAGGCCTGTAATCCATACAGGCCATAAAACTAAGTAACCCTTTCAGTTTTATCTCTTCCAAGAATTTGGTACAGCATTTCTTACTACTTGAATAATTAAGAATGCTTATATGTTTGCATAGCTATCAAAAATTTGCTTGGTATATCGGTGAACTATAATTGTCATAACTATGAGCCAAATATATGGAAATAGGCATAAATTAAAAATGTTATGACATTTTGCTTATTATAACTGTGAACTCATTACATCCATGTTCATTATAACTGTTTGACTGTATAATGTTATGGATGTGAGAGATAGAAAATTCACTTTTTCAGTTATTTATATCTTTTTATAGGAAGTAATTATGTCATTGTTATTAAACTAATATTTATTCATTTTTTTTTTAATATAAGTTATCAAATAAAGCCACTTACTACATCAGTATATCATATTTCAAATATAATTTTTTTTATATTTGTTTTGAGCATATTATTTAATTTCAGTAAAAAAAAAGTAAACAATTAATAGTAGTTTGTGGCTATTTTCTGTATTTATTAGTAACTCATGATGCATTTTAATATTGGTAATTGTTATAATTAATATAGTTTATAAATTAACTTTTTATTGATTACTTGTACATTTTTTTATGTTTTAGTATTCTGGATACTCTCGTATAAAACATGATTCAGAAATACAGAATACAATGCCACATCCCGAAAGACAAAATTCCATTGTCAATTGTGATCCTCAGTCTTTTTATTCACCATGGTCTCATAAAGTGTTTCGGGCATCAAATCAATCACCAACAAGTAATGATATGCAGGTAAAAACTTATTTATTATACTCTTTAATTTAATGCATTTCAACATATTAATACAATGAAGTTCTGTTAACCTGGCATATGGTATGCTGGCAAACTGAACTATAAGATTTCATGTCAAAGTGCTCAAAACATAGGTTTTGAACGGAGGTGTGGGTTCTCCTTTTAGAGATGACAAATGCCAAGACAATATGATTCTGTGCTAGGTAAAACCAGTTAGATTGTTCATGATTTTTCTAAAGACTTTTCCAAAGATTTTAGTGCATGGGTTTGATGAGAGAGAGAGAAATATTTATTACACTTGAAATTAATAATTATCATGGAAACAGATACAGTACATTACTGTTCTTGTACTTTGATAATTAAAATCCATCTGTATTTAATTTACATTTATACACAGTAAAAATGTACAAAGCACAAAGTAAGAATAATGTGTGTTGGTTTTTCATTACATTCAAGATTAAGAGTAGGCTGGGAAACTTGAAATGGTGTGTTAAACAATCATAAAAAACAGATTTGTATAGTTTTACACACAAAGATATATAAAATTGTGTCCATAGGATCATTTTTTTCATTTTTTTTTTTTTTCATTGAATGATCATCATTTCCCCTTGCGGGGATCAGTCATCCTTGTCCCGCCATAGGCACCACAAGGAGAACGTTGCTTTATTAAGTTAAACCAGTATAAATTCTTATTTACAATAAACAAACTACAGTAAAATTAAATTAACATTAAAACAAAATGACGCGTTCTTGTCACGCTTGTACAGTAAAGCCGGTGTATTGCCGGCTGGTAGGTGGAGAGATGACTTTTCTCTCCACCTTTACATAAGAACCCTTCTCGCAAAGGTCTGAATAGCATTTGCCAAGTCTCTGTCTCGGATTAGGTTATATAGGTCCAAGTTTGGGAATCTCGTATTCTGTGTATGGAGAAGTCTCAACTCCAACCTCTCCTTTTCGTATTTGTAGCATTCCAGGATTTTATGATTGAGGTCTTGATTTTCTTTACCGCAGTCACATGCCGCTGAATTCCTCTTGCCGATTTTTTGTAAGTATTCATTACTATTACAGTGTCCAGTGAGGATTTGGCTAGTTATGAAGTTTATTTTGAGCCATTGTAAATCTTTCATACGCTCTTCTACACTTGGTAAAAGCCAGAATGTGTGTCTACCTTTATTAGTGTAACTCCATCTGTCTTGCCATATTGCGTTAGTCTCTGCTCTGATGGTTCTTTTAATATATGATAGAGGTATCTTTCCGTGGGACGCGTCCATAGGATCGAAAAAATTGGAAAAGCTTGTAAAGTACTAAGTTATTTTTACGCCTTTTACAACAATTAGTGACACGACTTTGTGCCGGAAATAGCCGTTACCTAACGGGTACTTTACGCGGATTCGCATTAATGTGCCAGGCCTGGACTTTAAGTGTGCACCAAAAGAAATAATGACAAAGTTAGTCAAAACCAATCAAATATTTAATAATTCTAATAATGACTATGTACAAAAATTAGTAACAATCAAACAACAAATTTATTCAAAGAAAATCAATAAGAATCAACCCGTCAAAACTCAAATCAATCTATTTGCTAACTTAAATCTATTCCCCTTTGGAATTCGACAAAAAATTCAAAGACTTAACTTATGTACAACAATTCTTATGAACTAAGGTCACCTCAATATACTAGGAACCTTTTTCCTCAACTCTCAAGACTTTTTAATCTTCGATCCACAAATCGAATAACTTCAAATCGCCTTGGAACCACTTTATCACTATCGGACACCTCTTGTTGTTTGCTGCTATGAAGCTCACTATGCTTGTTGCTAACAGAAGCTCATCTCAGTCATCTTCACTTGAGATTCGGACTTTATACTATGAGGTGATGTCACAATTCTGATTGAGATCACTCCCTCATTTACATATTTATTGCTAACAGTAAACTTTTCCTTTCTGCCTGGCAGCCTATTTCTCGAGAATTCTCGCTAACCTTTTACATTATTCTTTTTTACAATCTTTTAGGATGTTTTATTCTATAAGGTTTAGCAAGTTCCTAAGTTGTACTTGTGGGGTCTCCCCCCTCTTTCTCGGTGCGGACTTACCTTTTTCCACTCGGGAGCGCAAGTGTGTGCGAGTTTTTTCTACGGCGCTATTTTTTTTTTTATCGTCGGAGAGTTGGTTCTCTTTCTTCTATTTTTAAGTTTCTAAGGTGAGTGGTGAGGAAACCTTTGTCCTAACAAAACATAAGCCCCAAACAAAAATAGAATAAAAAGCAAAATAAAAAATAATGAAAAATAATGCTCGAATTTGGTTCCTTACAAACTTTCACCTTCTAAGAGTATATTTGATAACCTGGCACTACATTGGTTCCAACAATGCAAGGTTAATGGAATATCATTGTTTAATAAAAATATTTGTTTAATATTTTTAGAAATTTTAACATGTTTAGCAACTTTTAGAAATTTTTAACATGTATTTCTATGGGAAAATGCGTTTCGTATAACGGACTTTTCACTTAACAGACGTGCACGTGGAATGGATTAAGTATGTTATATGAGGCATCACTGTATTTTAAAAGTTCATTTTAATATAAACAGGGTTCCTATGCAGCTGGAAAGTCAGGGAAAATCAGGGATTTTCATTAGTGTTTGGAAAAAGTCAGGGAATTTGTCGAAAATTGTCAAAAAGTCGGGGAATTTGTCAAAAAGTCAGGGAATTTGTCTCCTTAACTGCGTTGTTGATCTCGTTTGCTGTATATGGATGATCAATCATAGCTATCTGCAGGCGGCAAGAAGTAATGCTGCAATCTTTAATAAGAAAATACACCAGAATCCATTTTGAAATGGTTTTTTTCACCGTTCTGAAGCCATATAATTTTACAGTTGTGGATAACAGGATAAACTACTTTTATGTAATAGTGTTTAATTTTTAATTTTAATAATTCAATGATTATAAAAAGATGAAATTGTTTATTAGAATAAAAAATAACTAATTAAAAATTTGTTTGCAAACTTTTAAAAGTTGAAATCGTAATTTATTAGAATGTTCACTTCAAAATAGCTAAACAGATCAGTAAAAATCTGTAATTTAATCGTTTTTCAGTTTAAAACATAAAAAATTATAAATAGTTACCCGACGTTTACAGTAAAATACTGGCGCTGACTTGTTGTNAATTAGTAAAATAATAAATTTTTGATTTCTGGAGATGAAATGACATTCCTGAGAGGAGATGCTTTTACACATTTAAAATTAACAGAAAATATGTTTTGTTATTCTGTTACAGAAGTAAAAACTTTAAATGGATGCTTTTCTGTCATTAAAATAACCAAAACTTTCAATACATACTCTCTATTTCCATCCTTCGGAGGACTCTGTTGTAAACAATCGGTCAATTTGACTAATATCACAGCCGTTCCAATACCACGAACGACAATTCCCGATTCGCCTTCCAAATCGAAACACTGGTGATAACTAAAATAAACAATAATTAAAATTACATGCATCTGTGTGGAATACATAAAATACATAATATGTATTTTGTGAAACATCCTTTTTCTCTCAATAAAATAAAATACTTAAGAAAATTTCACAAAAACATTTAAAAATCATTGTGAATGCAAGAAAAAACTGGTACATTTCAAAATATTTCATTAAAAAAAATGAATCAACTCAAAAACTTATCATATCAAACTTAAAAATCTGCTTTATGGACTTTAATAAAGCAGAATTTTAAGTTTATGATTTTCAGAATGGTGATATATTCTACATTCCACCAAATGCAAATGCATCAAACTAAACAATAGTTGCAAGTAACCAAATGATCTTCCAAGTAATTTTCCTTAGAAGATTATTGCAATTACAGTAGAGCATTGATTATCCGAATACTGATCAACCAAAACATCGGTTAACCGAAAGTGTTCCAATCGGCAAATTCAAATTTCCACTACCCCGTTTCCCCAAAAGTAAGACAGTGTCTTATATTAATTTTTGCTCTCAAAGATGCGCTAGGTCTTATTTTCAGGGGATGTCTTATTTTTCCATGAAGAAGAATTCACATTTATAGTTGAACAAAAAACTTCCCAAGTCTAACTTAAACAAGAGAGACGTAAATCCGGTCGTGTCAAACTGAACTTACAAAGTTTCCGTGCTGGAGTGGATTTCCCACTCTCGCTTCAACTTAACCTTTTCATAGCGTCGACATCGGGCTCGATGACAAATTAGTACTTACTGAACCGTAGCACTATGCAAATGTCATGTGGCGTGATTCCCGGCCAACCAATTAGAGATCACCAGCCGTAACGTTATGCAAATCTGTGATTCCCAAGCAATAGTCTTATGCAAATCATGCCATGCGGCGTGATTATCTGCTGACCAATCAGTGGCTATACTTTCAAAAAGCCAACAGCCACTTTCAACCATTTGTCGATGACCATTACGACTAAAAAAAACTTTGCTAGGTCTTATTTTTGGGGGGCAGTCTTATATTTCGCAATTCAGCAAAACCTCTGCTAGGTCTTATTTTCAGAGGATGTCTTATTTTCAGAGGATGTCTTATTTTCAGGGAAACACGGTAGTGCTGTAGCACTGTAATATTTGGTTATGTCTTGGGCTACTCCAATATTATTTTTGTTGGTGTGCATGTTTTAGCTGTCAGCACTGGTGCGACCACGAGAGGGTACTTAAGGATGCGCCAGTATTTTAACAAGGCTTTTCCCCCCCATCACGAGTAGTGAGTATTGCTTGTTTTTTGTAGTGTTTTTCTGAAGACTGTGTGTCAGGACATGTGTCATGATGAATCGAAACGTTTTTGATACTACATTAACTTCCAAAATATAATTTTTTTTAATATTTTTCAATATATTTATTTTGTTTGTGCAAAATGAATTAATAATTTTTAACGATACAATAGCCATGATTATTATTTTTAAAAAAATTATATTTTGCATTCAACACAAAACAACATGCAACAAAAAAATTTCAACATGGGATAGGGTAATATGTTTTTTCATACACGATCAGTTATTCGAACCACCCCAGTCCCAAATTGTTTTGGATAATCGATGCTCTACTGTATTGTCATTGTGAGACTTCCATAATCATCTGATTTGGTGCTAATGAATTTTCTTACTTTTGAAAACAGACAAAAAATAATCAATGTATCACTCCATAAAATTTAAAAAACCTTAGTCCAGACTATAAAAATAATAACATTTATAATTTACAACATTTTTTGAATTAAATGTTAAGCACGGAAGAAAAAGTTTGAATTAAAATACATTAAGATGTTGGGAAAAATCTTTTTAACTTCTTAATAATTAAAAAAAAGACAATCTTTATATAATTTCCAATTAAAAATAATATATGCTGGAGCATGCTCCAACAGGTATTATTTTTAATTGGAACAAACATTTTTCAGTCTAATTTATAAGTCTTTCTAAGATTTGATCACAAAGAAATACAACTATGAATGTTTAAATGTAATAAAAATTGAATAAAAATTCATGAAATCTTTCAAATTTAAATTTACAAAGAACTATGAATTTTATATATAATACATGGCAATTATGAAGTCCCCACACTCAAAATTCACAAACTTAAATCTTATTTTCCATTTATGTCACATCTATGTGATATAAATAAACACATCAGCTGATCCTTCTGGCTTCTATGCTGTAAGTTTTGTCCTAGTCAGCATATTTGCTCTCTCTTAAGAGCTGTTGATGTGTCGGATGGCGCTTCCCGTGTCAGACAAAGGACAGGAACTCGTGACACATCCATACTCACTTTTCTACGCCGTACATTATTTTCACTTACTTTTTAAATAATACAGCAGTCAGATTGCCAGACCATATTGGGCCAGTTGAATAAAAAATAATAAATGCTTAAAAGTTATTAATAAAAGTACAAGTACTTACTGTAAGTAAAAGCTTTGAAGTAAAAGTACTTACTTTTTTGTGCAAATAAAAGTTTACTTTTACTTATTAGTAAATGCTCACATTTTTAAGTAAATACTGGCAACCCTATCAAAATGATGTTGCCATGTGAGGAAGGAAGCCAACTCATCTTTGTGAATGTTTTAAAAGAATATAGATTATTATTAAAGAAGTCACATGTTCCTGCTATTAAAAGAAGAAAAGAAATCACCCTGCAACAAATGATTGAAGAGCTGAAGATAAATCATGCAACTGAGATGTACAAAAAACAATTCATGAACAAGCTGAACAAAGTAAAAGCCAAATTAAAAAAGAAGACAGATCTGAAACAGACTGGGAATAAACTAAATGTACTAAAAGAATGGGAAAGGTGATTTTTGATTTGCTGGATGGAGAGACAAACTTGACTGTAAATTGTATTGTAGATAAGTAAACAACAAAGTACAGTGGGTGATTGGTTAACGAATAATCCATTCCAAGACTTTGTTCACTATCCGAATTGTTTGTTAACCGATTATCGATTTACCATAGGTTTTGATGGGAATTTAATTAATTTGTTCTGGAGACCCCCAAAAATAAAAAAATATATACTTTACTACGTTTATTTATATGTAATAATAAAAATACATCCATACACAGTCTTGTGTTTTTATTAGTCATGTTTTTTTTCTGTTTGAAAGGGTTAAAGAATCTGTCTAATGTCGATTGCTTTTCTCTCTTCTTCAGGATTTTTTGTAAGTAATTGCAATTGTAGAAATCCCCAAGCCTCAACCTGGTTTGGATGCCATTCTAAAACCGTTGTTCTGACATCCTCCCACTTCTTCAAAGGATCTTTAATAACAGATATTGGCATTAATCCTCTTTTTTAGAAGAAAACATATCTTGCCGAGTTTCTTGGTGTTCTTCATTCAAGAGTTCTTGGCGTTCTTCTATTGTCAGATCCGTTTCAGGTTCCATTATGAACTCTTCGATGTTGTATATTTCTCAGATGTGATTTTTGTTACTCTTTTATCCGCTTCTGTCTTCTTGATTATAAACTACTAGTAGCCCGGGACGTCCCCTAGTGGGCGTTTTTTACAATTTTCCATGAGGTACGGTTCCTTTGACTTTTTTGTTCCTATCAGTATGCTCTACAGCTCTGTTAAAGTCCCAATGGTAAGATTTACCCTTCGAATGAAGAGGTGGCGACCCCCCCAAACCATAGACCCCTGTACTACAATAAAGTCAAAGGAACCATACCCCTACTCACGACCCTTTGCGAGATATAAGCCCCTGAAATAATAAATTCCTATTACAAATATACTGAATTATTTATATTGTTATATTGATCAAATAATTTATAGGCCAAATTAATAATAATAATAATAATAATAATAATAATAATTTATATTGTTAATTAAAATTGTTAATTTGAATGTTTGAAATATGACACATGATAGGGGCGCCTCTAGTCTCCGTTATCAAACGGTTACACGGACAGACACTCGTTGAATGGGTTATATATATAGATTTTTCTTAAATAAGATTGAACTATGGCCTACTGTAGACTTGTTCACGCCAAACTGCCCAGCAACTTTAAGTTTCTTCTGCTCACTCTCTATCTTTGCTATTATACTCTCACCTTTCGGAAAGGAAAACAGATTCAAAACTTAATGAGTGCCTACCCGACACTCTCACGAATACATAAAAGAATTGTTTTGTCAGAAAAATAAAAGGCTGGAATTACAAGGGTGAGTTCAAAGTTCGGAGGAATACTATCCGATCGGTATATACTGGTTTGAGCGTCGATGTTGACGTCTCCCACACTCTGAAAGGTTTCGAATTGTTGCCTGAAGACAAGGGAAGACCAATCGGTATTCATTATTTTACATCGCTTTTTCTTGTATTCTTGTGTTTGTTCTATGGGGTGTTTGTTATCTGATCATGTGTTTGTTGTCTGAACATAAAAATCTTTCGCGAAAGTGTTCATTATCCTATCTGTTCATTAACCGATTACCCACTGCATATGTTACTGTGAATGACCGATATCTGGCGAATATCAACATTCTCTGGTGAATGTCAGCATTCACACAGTCATTTCGTGTATGTACGAAATATTTGCTAAATATCATTATTTCTCACTTACACCGGAAAATGTTGACATTCATCATGCACTGATGGTGAATGTTGAATAAAAATATTTTTATTATGTTAAGACAAAAATGCAACTTTCTAATATGTCAAAATAGGAGAAAGTTTAAGTAACAGTAATGTAAATAAACTGTTTAATCTAAAACGAAAAGTATATTCTAAATCATTAAAGAAAATAATACAATAATAAACGTACACATAAATTATGTGATTAATGTTAAACAATCTTATTTATTGCAACAACTTAAACTGTTACGGAACTTTGAATTGCACAAGAGTCCCTTATTTCACAACTGCATTTATTCGTAGAACACTTCTTTTTGCAATGACAACATATATAGTCTTGCCCTCCACTTTTTGAATTAGCTGCAGCTGCTTCTCCAGTGATATTTCTTGAGAAGAAAGCTCATCTATGGAAAGTAACTTTTCTTTACAAATTACGAACTGATTAAGGGTATAAAACTGCTTGAAAGTACCATTTTTGTTTGCTAATTTATACCTAAAAGTCAGAATCTTTTATTCCAACAACAACCGCCAACACATTTCAGGCATCTGTACAGACACGGTCGACACAGAAACTTGTATTCGTATGGTATCATCAATTTGAGCAGAAGGAAACGGCGAAGAATTTGGCAACAGATTATCACGTCTCTGTCCACGTTGGCTTCTCGGGTGTCATTTTGACCTCCACCAAAGCTTATCTGTGCTTGTCAGCATACACCGGCGATTGTTCAAATGTATAATAATGTAACCAAATATTCAGTCTTTCACCAACGTATTTTATATGTGTCGACATTCACCAGAGAATATCTACATTCTCTAATTTCGGTCTTTCACAGTAACATATAATGGATATGGATAATCTTGTATTACATATGATATTACATTGCATATGTTGGCGTTTTTATGCATGAAATACAGCTAAAAATGTAAAAAAAAAAGGCTTTATTTTAGGGGTGGAGAATAGATTAATCCATTTTATAATTTTTCTTATAGAAAAATTTGTTTTGGTTTGAGAATTAATTGATTTTTGAACAATTTTTAGAAATTAATTAAGTTTGAAATCTAAGGTTTGACTGTGTAAATTAAAATTATTATTTTAAGTTTATTGAAAAATCTTAACATTGAAACAGCATAATTTATTATTCAGTAATGCCAAATTGATAAAATATATCATTTTTGTAGGTTAATATGTAAAAGGAAGTGTATTGAAAAATAAATTAATAAATAACTATGATATAGATCTAAATATTATAATTATTTGATATAGTATAGATAAAAAATGTAATTAAACATCATAAACTTAAAAATCTGCTTTATTAGAACTCACTGATTTATATCAAGTATCACTTTCTCTTACATCCAAAAAAACACATGTTTAAATTTAGAGATTAGAGTTTTATTCATTCTTTAAATAATTAAATGTTTTTTTAGATGGGAATTAGAAATTGCTCTGAAAATGATGGATTTCTTAACCCTTCAAATGCATTAATATCAAGTGATCAAATGCCAACATTTAATCCAAATTGTCCCATAACAGAGAGATCAGCTTTAGATGATTTAGTATCAAAAATTGTTGATGAGGATCAATACAGTAATAATGGATTGGCTGAGCATCCAGAAACTTTTGCACTATATTCAAATAATGATGTATTTTCTACATTTGATGGGTAAGCTATTTTTTTATTATATATATTATTGTTATAAATTTAGCAGTTTGTTGTTTTATTATATTTTGGTACATTAAGATAATACAGTGTTCCACAAAAGTATAGAACTGCTGCAAATTTACTATACAAAGGTTAGGAATTACACACATGATATAGCTACCTTACTTTATGTTTTCATAAATCCTGAACAATATGTTTGTCAAAACTCATTGTTTCCTTTATATTGCAGCAAATAGCAGAAATTATTTTTTAAAAAAATTGATTTTAAGCACGACAAAAGTATAGAGCCGACTAGTAAATGAATGTAAAAAGAATTATATACTACAAAATAGTTCAATTTAGTAATTTATCTGCACACCTCCTTTACTGATAACATTGAAAATGCAATTTGGCATGCTATCAACAAGGTTTTTTATGATCGATGCCTCGAGAGTTCCAAGCAGTGACAATTGCTTGTTTTGAGTGTTCAATGTCAGCATACTGATGATTTTGGTCATAAATTCAGTCAACTAAGATCCCTCAAATGTTTTCTATAGGGTTACAATCAGGAGAACGAACTGGCCAATTTATTTATTTTCAAACCACTGTTTTATATCTTGTGATACATGGATAGATGTATTATCCTGTTGAAAAATAAGAGGAATTCTTCTGAATCTATGTTTGTATGGCAGCAATTTGTTCTCCAGAAGTTGTTGATAGTCAGCACACTGTTCATGCGACAGGTAACGAATGCCAAATCCAATTTTCTCAATGCAGAAAAGCATCCCAAACCATAACACTCCGACCACCGAAGTTCCTTTGTGAAAAGTATTGATACTTGAGCTTTTTTTTGTAAATGATGCCAGTAGAACACTAAACCATCTGGCCCATCCAGGCCCATCCAAATTAAATTATTTTTTGCCTGGAAAGTTTATCTATACGACAAAAAGGTTGTTATTTCTTGTGCTAGCACGATAGATCTAAATGAAACAAAAACCTTATTCCATTGAGTGGCCATATTTTTCCTAGCAAAATTGAGTTGGGCAGCTTTGTGCTCATGCTTAAGAGCAGGGGCACTTTTCATTTGAGACCAAACAATGTTGTTGTTGCCTTGTAAAATCCTTTGAACGGCTTTGTGATGTACTTAAATACCCAAATCATCCCAAATTTTATACATGGATGCTGTGGATTTAGAAGCTGCATTAATAATTCATCTGTGATCTTGCAGGGTAAGCTTTGAAGGACATCCACTTCTGTGCTTTGGTTTATAATTTGCAGGATTTGACAAATAATGCTGAATGACCTTTTTTGAACATTTGATGCTGTTTGCTACTGCCTGATGACTTAAATCAGTGCTTCTCTAAGCTACAATTTGTCCTTTATTAGTCTGTTAAATGGGTATCACGAGGCATGATGAAAAAAAAAATACTTCCACACTTCAAACTTGTGAGAAAGATGGCGGTTCTATACTTATGTGGCAGTATGCAAATTGCTTCCCACTATTTTGCAGTCAGCTATGAATTAGTTTCCTAAAATTATGTTTTTATAAGTTAGGTGCTGAATTACATGTAAAAAAAATCTATTTGTATCTATTAGTGCATGTTTTGACCCTTAAAAGACCAATTTTTTGAGCAGTTCTATACTTTTGTGGAGCACTGTATAATAATTATGCAATGGAATAATGACTAATGTAAAACTTTAATAATTTGCTGAAAGATAGTTATTAATTGTTTATTGTTTAATTATTTGAATGATTCAGTATTACAAATAGATATGTCTAGATTTATAAGGTAATTTTATTGACTATGCATGCAATATAGAATAGAACTTAATAAAACTAGAAATTTTGTAAAAAAACTAATCAAGATAATGCTTTTTAATTTTTGTAAATTGTTAGTTTGAAATAAATATTGTCTGTTATTTATTNTTTCGTTTGTTGTTTATTTCTGTATTTATTTTATTTTATAAGTTTTAAGAATCCCAATTTTCGTAATACTATGACTTCATAGGAATACAAGTGTGAGATTCCGGAATTGTCCGGAACTAAAATAGAAAAACGTAAAATAATTTAATTATTAGAGAAAAAAGGAATGAACGGAAATTTTTTATAGAAACTTGAGGAATAGTCTAGACCTGTGTTTCTCAACCGCCGGTCCGCGAAAACTTAAAAAATATATATTTAACCTGTCATGCATTGTTCCCGAATAGGAAATATGTGGATTATTAATCTGTTTATTGATAGCAAACTAATAGATTGAATGACTTTGAATACGAAAAACTAATTGAATTAAGAATTTAAAACACTGTTTGAATCAATGCCCATAACACAGTTTTGGATTAAAGTTAAATCTGAATATCCAGTTTTACATGAAAAGGCAGTTAGGATGTTACTACCTTTTTCAACAACGTACTTATGTGAATCAACATTTTCAGCAATGGTAATGATAAAATCGAAACAACGAAATTGTTATAGTTTTTAGTTCTGCCTCAGGCATTGCAGTTACCACCTTAAATCCAAGAATTGATGATCTTACTAGCAAAAATGAAAAGCAGTGATTACATTGATTTGTATACTACTGTACTGGGAAATAAATAACAAATATTTATTGCTCAATGTAGTTTGCAGTCTTTTTACAACAGATAATTTTTTTCAATTAAAAATAATATTGTCATCGGTCCGCTTAAAAAAAGCAGATATTTTCCGGTCTGCAATGAGTTTTGGGTTCAGAAACACTGGTCTAGACCATCCTTTCTCAAAGTGGGCGATAACGCCCCTTTGTGGGCTCTGGAGGCTTACATAGGGGCAGTAGAAGGTTCAGTGATTAAATATGAGTTTTGTTTCTTCTCATCGAAACATTCTTTTATCTCAGAAATAGGATATGGGTCACACCCTATCTATCCTATCCATATAATAATGCATGTTTAAACATTATTTTTGCAATAACTGTTTTTAAGATATGCAACAGATGGTAATGTAAAAAGGTTAAGTTAAAAGTTAAGTTAAAAAATATGGGGGCACTATATATTTTTTTCAATCTCAAAGCGGGCAGTGGTCGAAATAAGTTTGAGAACCTGTGGTCTAGACACTGCAGCTCCCAAGATCAATCATTTGGATTGGAGTCGGATTTTCCATTGTTTGAAATGAAAATAAATACACTTGAGGAGAAAAGGCTAAAACTACATTAATATAATAGTTTTTGTGTTTTGTGAATTGTAATTCATTTTTTATTTTCTAATTATCTGTATTTTGAAAAAAGAGGATTAATACTAAGAAGTTTCTCTGTATTTTGATTGTCCATTTTGTAAAAAAATAAAAAGATTTTACAATAAATTAGATGCATTTGTTAGAGAAGCTATAGTATAAACTTACACCTATTCCTCTTTATATACAATCATTGATTTTTTTACGTAGGAAAAATGCT